AATGTTGTGTGGTAGGTATTTAAAATTCCGGGTTTGAGTCTTGATTGCTGGGTGAATTTCAGTGATGTTGTATTATCAACCGAGTACAAAAACGCAAGTAAATTTTAAATTAAAATTACGACAAACAGGTTATTATCAAACCTCTACAAATATCTCCTAATTTTGTTCATGTTAGAGTTGAAAAAATCACAATAAATGTATTACTATTTTATGTGATTTAGGAGTTAATCTATATGATTTTTTTTTTTTTAATGCATTCATTTTGGAAGTGGAACTTGCAGGGCATTTAAAGTACACATAGGAATATTTTTTCCCCTGTTTTGTATTAACGCAGTTTGCTTCATTTACTATACAAAGGGTTTACAGCTGGTGTCATAGTCAGGTGTTCTGTGGGGAGGGGGAAGACTGCGCTGTGCAAGCTTCAGGAGGCTGTGGGAGGCAGCACAGCCTGCTAATGAAGAAATACTCGCTACACGGAAGTCTGTAGGAAAAGTAGATGTTGACTGGCTTTTACAAGAGTCAGGTAAGTTTTACTCATGTAAAAATTATTTCTCTTTTGTAAGGAGATCTACTGTTCTTCACAGTAGCTACTACAGATACTAACCAGTGAGATTTGTGTAAACCAACCATTTTGTGGCTACTGCTCCATCAACACTGTGGAAGGAGGGAACAAGCACACAGCAAACTGTATGTAGTTGACGTCAGGAAACGATCAAACCAGCACGAAAGGAACCCAAGCTGAGGTTATAGTCTTAAAAAAATTTAAAATCCCCCAGGTTGATTGTGATGTAGTTAAATGAGGTAGAAACTGTGTTTAGCTCTTGGCAGTTGGACGCTTTGTCACCGATGACTCTCGTGTGCCGACCAGCTGCTGCCGAGAGGTCAGTGCTCGAGGTTCAGGTGCTGCTGTCACCGCAGCACCGAGGGGTTTCGTTGCCGACCCCTCGTGTAAGTGGTAGATCTTACAGGCCCAAAAGAGATGTGTTACCATTCCTGGATTTTTCATTATTTTAAATGACGTAAAGAGCTGGAATTGTTCATGAGGCCGGGGATGGTCACGCTGAACCCTTCATACATCCACCAGACTTTCTGTAACGGCTGAAGAGACCGCTCTCTTCCAACAGCCCTGGCTGCCGCCATGCCGTCTCTGGTCCGCTCCGGCGGGAGCAGGCAGCGCCAGGAGCCGACGGCTGCACGACGAGCTGGGACTGTAGGGACGGCGACGTTTCTTTTGTGAGACGCATAGGTGCTGAATTTGAAAATTTAAGAGGAAAGGCTGCATTGCACGTGTGTTGACTCCTCTGTCCTGACATTAATCTCTCTCTTAGGAAGAAACTCAGAGGTTTAGTTACTGGCTTAATCTTTTAAAGATTTATTTGACCAGTCCAAGCAGTGATTCGTTAGTGTAAAATGTGCTGGTAACCATTTCCTACCATTGCGAAGGTTGCTTCTTAGACCTATCTACTGAACTGAGAAATCAGAATTCTACATTTGTATGCAAATCAATGCAATTGTTTTCTAGTGAGAAATCTTTAAAAAACGCTTTTGTTTTTTAGGAAACAAAATGGAAAACAATAGGAAAATGATACCAAGCTAGGATGTTTCTACATGCTGTCTGCATACTTTTTCTAAACTTACTCTCTCGTTTAAAAATGAGAACAAAGTTGTTCTGTAGGTATCATCCCCAGGTTCTGCAAAAAAAGACTGTGTGAAACAGAGCTGTATTATGAAAAATACTTCACTCCTCATTTCACCACTGAGTATTTATTAAAAAACATGGTAAATATTCAAACATACTAAGAAGGTAATCTGCATCACAGTAAAATTGCTCTTTGGTTCTCAGATACTCTTGCTTCACGTGATCCATGCTCATGGTAGTCATATAAGGTGGACAATATTAAACTGATACGGAAAAGTTCATACTTTACTGAAGATCTCTAGGTATGTTTCCAGAAAGTAATTTTATTTGATATTCAATGTTTGCTGGCAGAGCAAAAGTGCCTTAGCTTTGTTTTAATTTAAGTGTGTTTAATGACTGAAAGAACCGATGCTAGGTAATAATGCTAGCTCTAATTTTCCCCAAGCCCTTCCTCTCTTTTTTTGCACAGTCATTGCAGACTGAATACTGTGAATGTACTTAGGCACTTACATGCCTATGGCTGCCTTTGATTAAACTTATTCCAAGAATTAACTCGGTCCAGCTGTAGACTTTGTTAACAATCACTCATGCTGTAATTCTTATTTCAGATGACGTGAATGTATGTTACTGTGAAATCGCTGCCAAGATGGTTCTTTGCTGTGCACTTGTACGCGCCAGAATCTGAGGGTCGGGGATTCGGGATGAGTAATGTCCCCGGCGGGCGAAGCAGTTCGCTCCCAGGTGCTCGGCCTTGGTTACCAGTAGAGAGTACTGAGTGGTCAGGTAATTCCCAGGTAATTTCTGGTTTGGGTATTCCCAGTGCTATGCAGTGGAGCTGAACTGCTGCACCAGGCATCGTGTGTATGGTCTGCGGCGGTCTGCTCATAATCCTCGGGGGATAGGCTACAATCACCACAGGAACAGTTACAGAGGAATCCCCGGCACTGTTGTGGGCCTTACACACGTAACTTCCCCTGTCGTGAACGGTGGCTTCTCGTATAACCAAGGTGCCGTTTTCCAGCAGGATGTATTTCCTGTTGATCTGCGGCCGGTCCAGCACGGAGCCACCTGGCAGAGTCCACGCTGTGTTCGGTTTGGGGCTCCCGTCGGACAGGCAGTGGAGCGATAACGACTCCCCGCTAATGCCCTTCACTGGCCCCGCCGGCTGAGTGAGAATACTGGGCTTCCGCCCAACTTCCAGGATGATCAGCTTTTCAATGTAGCCAACTTTATTCCTGGCAGCGCAGCGATACTTCCCCGCTTTGTCTCCATCAGGATTATAGATGGTAAGGGTACCGTTGCTTCCTGTGAGAAACTGGGAAGTCTCGATGCCGCTGGCAAACCATGTGCCATTAGGCAGCATCCAGCTTATGTCAGGTGGAGGGTTTCCGTCCACAGAACAATTCAAGGTGGTAGTTTTTCCAGGTTTTGCTATTATTCTTTCGTTGAATGGATTTTTAAACATCGGTCGCCTTAGCATTTCTAATACCTCCAGCTGCACCACCAACATACTCTCTCCTCCATCGTTACGTGCCACACAGATAAAATCTGCTGTGTCAGAAGGCCTTATGTTCCGAATCTCAAGTGTCCCATTTTTGTGTACTACAATCCTGCTCCCATAATATGGAGCTGTTAGGAAAACATTATCAGGCATGATCCACATAATCTGAGGGGGAGGCGTCCCCTCTGCCCTACAATCAATTTGTTTCTTTGAATGCCGCACTGCTGTCACTTTCATGATCGTTTTGTTCACGTACAAACCGTTTATGATGGGTGGTTTAGCAACAACATCCAGTTTATACAATTTTGTATCATCCCCTCCAGGATTACGAGCAACACACATATACTCCCCGGCATCTAACAGTTTGACTTGACTGACTGACAGAGAACCATTGATGTGCAGGAGGTGTCTGTCTGTTGACGAGGAGATCATGTCACTGGAAGGCAGCAACCAGAATAGTTTTGGCTTGGGTTCTCCAACAGCTTCACAGTCCAGCAATGCCGTATCTCCAGCTTTCACTTTAATGTATGTTTTGTAATTGTGCTTTATCTGAGGGGCTGCCATGACGACCGTGATGCGTATCTTCATTTCATCTCTTCCCAGTGTGTTTTGAGCGTAGCAGGTATAATCTCCTCCTTCTGTTACTCCGACTTTGTTGAGATACAGAGTTCCATTGTCAAAGAGGACGTACCTGCGAGACCTGCGTCCGCTGTCATCTGCCAGCATCACATTATTGATGACTGTCCCGTCCGGCAAGCTCCAGGATATTTCTGGTGCGGGTGACCCGGAGGCCTTGCAGTCCACTTTGAGATCTTCCCCGTACAGCACCAGTTTCTTGAAATGCTGTTTGCGGTCGATCTTGGCTGGTTTCATTGTGATGCTGACTTTCATCAGTATCAGATCATCTCCGATTTTGTTTCTTGCAACACACAAATAGTCACCTGCGTCCTTTTCAGTAACTGCCTCAATAACCAAGGATCCATTGGGGTAGACGTGGATTCGGCTTCCCATTCTGTTGTGGGGGGAGAAAGAGGAAAAGAATTGTGAAACAAAAGGCTGGAGGTGAATCGTGAGCGCTGAAAGTGACACTGTCAGCAGCACGACACGATACAGAAGCGCTCTCCAGAGGCACTGTGTCCACATCACCCGCAGGCCTAGCGGGTTGTAACCTGATGTAGTTGCCGCTTTTGTCGTTGTGTAGATGTGCACCATGCTCGCCGACTCGAGTAGGTGCGCAAAGCTGCACGATGCCACCTCTGCCTTGTTGAAAACTGTTCTGTGAACAAATGAGCCCGCTGAACCTTACGAGCCTCATCCCGCCAGCCTCTGCCCCCTCCCTCGTGCTCCTCCTTGCCGATAACCCGCGGTGCTTTGCCCCTGCCCAGGCGCAGCCATCGGTGCCGCTGCGTGTCGTCCAGACAGACACTTGGCAGCGAGCGATTACTCCCTGGCTGCCTTGCCTGCAGCAGGGCACGGGCCTGGAGCTCCAGCCCGGCGGCAAGTTCCCATGAGCCTGCTAGGAGCATCCTGACCCGGGACTGTCTCTCCCAAAGCGAAGGCGAAGTGTTACTGCGGGGGAGACCCTCAAAGGTAGGCTTGGCAGAGACTACGGAAGCCTCTTACTCCCGAGTCCTACTTTACAAATCTCTTGTAAATAAATTTTGCTCCTATAAAATAACCAAAATTCAGACAATGTATGATTAACATCAGTTTCCTTAATTCAAATAAGACTTGTATGCATTTTGGTAAGACCTCACCCACTTACGACAACTGATGTGGTCTGTTATTAGATGTATAATAACAAGCCATCACCACAGATGTTTTACCACTGTTCAATATTTAAATGTGAATTTAATTCACAAGGTATTGTTTCATTGATGTAACAGTCTCTTACACGAGCACCAGAGAAGATGGCATTTGAAGTTGCAAAGAGGTTGGGGAAAAAAAAATAATAAAAGACTCCTACCTGTGCCACTGGTCAACAACGGCCCTGGAGGGTAACCTCCAGATGATCCTGGGCTTTGGCTCCCCAGTCGCTGTGCAGTTCAGAAGCAACTTATCCCCAAAATTCAACTGAGTCATTTCTTGGGAGGCAGTAGCTATTTTTGGAAGTGTATCTCGATGTTCCACCACGAGGCTCACCACCCTCCTTTCCGAGCCCGTCGAGCTTGTGGCTATGCACTCGTAATTCCCGCTGTCAGAAGGGGCGACGCTGCTGAGGTGGAGGGTACCGTTGGAGAACAGGAACAGCTTTGCGTTTACAAACTGCAGAGGTTTCACCACCGTGCCGTCAAAGAGGACCCAGTGGACAGTGGGCTGAGGATTCCCTTTCACAGTGCAAGGGAGTTTCAGATTTTCCCCCATCATTCCTTCAACACGTTGTCTCTTCTCTTCCAGAATAGCGGGAGGTGCCGCAATGACCTGCAGTTTTACAACCAGCGTGTCGGTGCCCGCTGGGTTTTTAGCCAGGCATGTGTAGAGGCCCCTGTCGTAAACACTGACTTCCTTGATAATTAAAGTGCCGTCTGGTTCCACATGAACTTTGCTGTTTCCCGCGGAAGAGTCGGAGACATGCGTTTTATTTGCTAGAACCCACGAGACGGTGGGAGGAGGCCTGCCCTCAGCTGTGCACTTGAGTGCCACGGGCTTTCCGGAGTGAGCGGTGAGGAGCTGCCACCTGCCACCGGTGATGCGGGGCGGGTAGGCCACCACCGACAAGGTGACCAGGAGCCGTGCCGCGCCGTGCGGGTTGGCCGCGGTGCACAGGTACTGCCCGCGGTCCTCCAGGCCAGCCCGGGCGATGGAGAGCGTGCCGTTGGCAAACACCATCCATCTGCCGTCGCCTCGGCTTTCCAGAGCATCGGTCCCTATAGAAGCAAGGGGACAACAGCGCAGCACGTCAGAACCTCTCTCTTCTGTTTCTTTTTACTCGGTCCCTGAAAATGCTTTCCCCATCCTGGTCTACCTTGCCCAAATAACCAAGACAATAGTGATAAGAATGAGAAAAGTAACAGTATTTTGGGTACACGGTGAGAAAGCTTTAACATAAAAACAAAACTTGGTCCTCAGTAGAGACAAAGTTTGGATAAAGCAGATGACGCTTTGCATATCCAAAAATACTTTGGCATAGTTATAAGTAGGCTTTGCATATTAAAAAGTATTTTGGCATAGCTTTAACTCGATTTAATGTTTTGTTACCAGAGACAGATTTTTCTTTTCAAGCGTCTCACTGTTCTGAAATAGCAGGTAACATACAATAAATACTGAAATCTTCTCACAGTAAGCACAGAAATATAGTTAAATATAGATTATATATTTCTTTTTTATTTCCCTAAAGAACTGTTTCATAACTGGCAGTAAGACACTCCAGCCTGTGTGCTGGGATATCTTTCTTTTTCACTGTTTCCAAGTTCACCTTTTCACTGATACTTCACTCCTAAATGAAGCAATACTTGAGTTTGGCGCACAAAACGTCTGCCAAATCACACGACTACAGCGGAAGGTAAATTCTAGAGAGGTTTATCAAGCTTACCTGATGGGATCTTGGTCCACTGTATTGTTGGACGGGGGTTGCCAGTAGCTTCACAAGGAATAAAAGCGTCTGAATTGGCTAGCACCGTAAAAGCAGCTAATTTTCCTCCAATTATTCTGGGCTTTGTGAAATGATTTCTGCCTAAAGAGTCCAAGGCTATAGGATTGTTGGTGGTGGTTTCTTGATCTCGTCTCTTTTCAGACCAGCCTTTGGCAGAACCGGCCTTGTCCCTTCCCCACAGAGGAGCATTCGGCGTCGCGATGGGTGATGACTTCAGTAGGGTCGGTGTATTGACAGTTAACGCGTCGCCTCTGCCTGGGACTTTAGCAGAGGGCTTCTGCCAGAATTTGATTTCCCCCCCCGGAGGCGAGGTGGGTCTCGCAGGAGGTGCCGGGGGCACAGCCGCTGTCAGGGCTGGCAGCCGGGCAGGATGCTGTGCGCTGGGAGGAGCGATGTCTCTGGTCGCAGCAGGAGCACTGGTCCTTGCTGGGAATGTGGGCTGTGCTACGTGGTTTTCTTGGATAACTCTCTCTTCCATTTTCGGGTGTGATTTTTCACCTGCCGCTGCGGCGGCTTTGCTCTGCGGAGCAGGTTCTGACCCAGGTGTTGCACAGACTGTGGCAAGTCGTGCGCGTGTGGCGCCGAAAGGGTTTGGAAGCCGTGGTGTGGTCGGCGTTGGTGTGGTAGGGTGCTCAGCAGTACGACTGCCGGGTGGTGACGCGGCTGGCTGGCTGCTCCTCCGTGCGACAGCGGTTGCCGGTGTCTGCGTGGCCGCTGTCGGCACACGCTGAGGTGCGTCCGGCGTGGTAAGGATCCACAGCGCTGGCTTTCCTGTCGCGGAGACTGCGCTTGCACTCTCAGAGAGAGGGTTTGCAGGCAGAAGCCTTGTAGGTGTAGTTAATGATGTCACTGTTGTCACAACAGGCGTGGCTGTATTCACCGCTGGAATTGCTGCAGTGCCATGGCCTGCAGTCACACTTTGTGAAGTAGATGTTTTAGGGGGCCTCTTCCTCCTCTGACCTCTCTTTTTTCCCCCTCTGAATATTTTACTTTTAGTGATTTTGGTGTCAGTTTGAGGCGTATAAATAGGTATAACTGTTGGCTTCACACTCGCTACGTCCATTTCTTTGGTCGCACTAGTTGCAATATGAGAGTAAGAATGCGGTTTTGCAGTGGCAAGATGTTCTTCTGACTTACCGTTGCCATAACGAATGGGTTTGTTTAAAGACAAGAAACCACTGCTGTGATTCCCACCTGTTGAAACAGGTGTGAGGTGCAAAAGCGGCATTTTGGACATCGATAATGCTGCCGTAGTTTTAGGAAGCACCGTCGATACCTCTGTTGATGGAAGCATATCTATCTGTTGTTGTGGTAGCTTCTTCAGAACCTCTTTTTGTGCACCATTTCCGTAGAGTTGCTCCCAAGTAATTTCTCCTCTTTGGGAATTTTTTGGCAAGGTACTAGGCTTAATGCTGGGTGAGACTGATTCAAGGGTTGAAGGTATCTTAGTGCTTATGGTATGTGTAATTTCTGCATCAAGATCAACTGGCAGGATCGCCGTTGTCGGTAGCCTGGTGCTGAAAGGCTGGAGTCTATCAGCATTTGTCTGAAATGGAGCACTGCTCTCCAGTTTCCATGGAGGAGTATCTTGGGTGCCCTTTGTAATGAAAGGCATGGCTGTTGTAGTAGCTTTTTGCCTTGCATCATTTTCCCTGAGGAATGCTGCGTTTTCAGGAGTACCCGCTGTGTGCTCCAACGGCATATTCATGGTAGAGGGGGAGGACAGAGGTGCTTCTGGGCTAAATGGGTTGATGGAGCTGCTTAAATTATTTACGGTTGGTAAATTTGTTATGTATTTCATATTCCGTTGAAGATCTGCAGCCACAGCTGTACTTCCTGTGACAGATCCTGGCCTCCCAAAATTGTATCTGTGCTCTTTCATACTTGGAATACGTCCTGGTCTAACAAGTCGTCTCCTGCCAGAAACTTTCTTTTGTCTCCCATATTGATGCTGGGCCTGGGGTGTATCAGTTATAGGATCCTGAATAATCTGAATTTGCTGATGAGTAGTGATAGTTGAGGCCAGGGGTGGTTTAGGAGTTACTTGTTTCTGAGGACTATGAAAATAAATGTGTCCGAATTCAGGGCTTGGTTCACGGACTGTCACTGCAGGTGTCTGATGATCTGTTTGGCTGGAAATCATATCTATAGGCTCAGTAAAAACATCTAGTTTGTCCGCTGCATTTTGGGAAGGTACAGACTTGCTTGTGTCTATAACATCTGTCACGGGTGTCGTAGATACAGATTTTAGTTGCTGGTTATTACTTTCCCCAGAATGTACCAACCTTTGCCCAGCAGGGAAGTGTGTAGATGTTTTACTTGTTCCATTTGATACAGTTGATTGTTTTATACCATTTGCTGATATTTGACTTAAACCAGACCTTTCCCATGAGTTCGCAATTGTAGGGTTTAGATATGTTTGTGGCCTTCTGCTGTCAGATGACACAGACAGTGAAAAAGGAGCAGGTAGGGGAGTTACTGCCTCTGCAACCAGGAGAGAGGTTTTCCTCGTAAGAGTGTTACTCGCGGTCGTCTCAGGCCCTGCAGTTATCAAGCTCCCCAGAGTAGATACGGTGGCTGTCTCTCTTACTGGTATCATGAATTCTTCCTCTGGAGATGCAAGATCACCAGAAGTTTCCTCCTCATCCCCAGGAGCTTCTGAGAACTTACGGACTTGAACGGGTGGGTGTGTTGCAACTTCTTGTTTTTCTATCAGTGTCGAGTTCCTCTTTGTTTTTTCCAAAAAGGCTGCCCAGCGCTGCGGATCGACTCTCCTGGCTGAGGAAACAAACTGTCTTCTGTGTCCTCTAAACCGCCTTCTTATTTTGTCCCTGTAATGCCTGTGAGTTATTCTCCCGTAGCTGTTCCTTTTATGCGCAGTCTGTACGACCCGATTTCTGGACGCTGAGGCAGCAGATTCCTGATGAGCGGTCAAGGTAGCTAGAGTAGCTAAAGGATGTTGCTGTGTTGTAGCAGAGGCCAGCATTGCATTGCCAGAGCCACCGCCCTCTTCCCATTCTCCCACAGCTGCATGCTTTTTCTTTAGTGTGTTTTCATCCTTTCTAACTAGCACGTGGAAAACCAGAAGATCAACACCATACTGGTTGGCTGCAACGCATCTAAAGTAGCCACTGTCTCTCTCTGTCACCCCTTGTATTCTCAAGGTACCATTGTCAAAAATATGTTTGTTTCTTACAGAATGGTGAAGAATCACATGCTCGGGTAACACCCAGCTAATGACAGCATCTGGAACAGCAGTGGATGTACAGGGAAGGTAGAGTGTGCCGCCAACAAATGTAGAAAGTTGGGCTCCGTTTACACTATTGTGTTCCACATAAGGATCGACCACGGTAATTCTAAATGTGAGAGTATCTGCATCGTTGTAATTTGTGCCTATGCAGTGATAAAGCCCACTGTCAAAAGTATCAGCTGTCCGTAATGTGAACGTTCCAGTTTTAACTACTACGATTCTTCCATCCTCGCTGATGTAAGGGGCTCTGACTTTGCTTCCATCAGCCAATATCCACTCTACTGCAGGAGCTGGTTCTCCGATTGCTTGGCACTCTAGTTCTACGGTCCCCCCGACTAAAACAGTGTGCTCCGTTTGTGTTTTGTTGTCCCTGGAGATGATGGTCCAGTTATTTCTCGCCTGGTTTTTGTCAGCACTGGGCAAAATAATCTTAGCATCTGTAAAGTACTGGATGTGCAACGTGCTTAGTGTGGTTGCCATCCTGTCTAGCTGTAATGCCACTTTGCTTTGCATTAACCAAGATGGTTCAGCTCTCAGTTCCGTCTCTATATTGGTAAAAAGTTCATCTTTTTCAGAGTAGATTTGTTTATATTTGTAACTAATAAAAGGTGTGTTTGTTGCTAGGACATTCCTTTCCAGTTTTAAGGGAGAATTACTGTACAGTGCCAGTATGCTCCATAGCTGCTGAATATGTTCGTAATCAATGCCACAGACAAGAAATGCTGAGAATGATGTTTTGAGTACTGTATTGTTGCCATCTTTGTCAAATGAGATGGGAGACATTTCTTTAGGTTTTTGGATGTTGCAAACCAAGTTACCTCGACTTCCTGCTTGGTCAGTCATGTTCAAAACCGCGGATCCTATAGGAGCTATGAAGTCCCTGGGAGATACAGAACTGAAATCCCCATCATCTGGCACCATGAGGTTTTTGAATTTCAGGGAGTCATGTATGGTTGGCTTACTGCAGGTTAAAGATGCAGAAGGAATATCCACTAAGCTTTTCCCTTTATGATTTTTGGGACTAGCACAAACTGGGCTTTGCTGAGCACCAGAACTTCTGTCTTTTTTGCACTTTATAACATCTGAAGGGAAGAAAAACACAGTTAAGCTTTTGTGATACCGTTTTTACTATTAAAAAGACATAGAACTACCAGCAAGTTGTTCTCTTGAATAAAATATTAACAAATTTTATCTTAAAGTAACCTATGAAGACCTAAAGTAACCTAAGAAAACCTATGGCTTTTTGCTGATGAAACTGCTTAAGGACTGTTGCTATTGCAGCTCAGCATGGTGTCCTCCTGTCGCAGTGGTTTTAGACGGGCTCCGCTGTGGTACATGGCCACAGCTTTGTTGCGAGGGACAGAACAGGCTGTAGCAGGTTGGGGGTAACACTACGCTGTCATGTGCAACCTCTGCTCAGGGCAGCCACAGAGAAAGTCCTCGAGTCCCGTTCCTTATTTCTTTGTCAACTTATCGAGTACAATGTTGGCCTTCACTCGTGCCAGTTACAGAAAAATCATTTTCCTTATTCCCTGTGGATTCTCCTGGTAAATGGAAGCTTTGGACTGGCCTAGGAAAACGAGCCATTAAGGAAAGCTGCACTTGCAAAAGGGTTAAGACCACTAGATTAATTTAATTTGGGAAACTGAATGGTATTAATCTGTTTATCCTGACTACATGCACCTACAAAACTCCTGTCTTCCAGTCTTTTCTGGGCGAATAAATAAATAAATAAAGGACAAGTACCTTTATCAGAAAGACTAAGATGCTACGCCATGATTGAAAAGCACACGAAGCCTTCAGCTCACCTGGTCTCTCTCTTGCCCATTCTGCAAACCACTGTAGAGTGCAGTCACAGGACCACGGGTTTCCATGAAGGTAAATGCTCTCTAGCTCAGACATGTAGGAAAACATTTCTTGTGGTAGTGACGTCAAGGCATTGTCAGACAAATGTATGTGCTTCATGAAGGATATTTTAAATATTTGGCTATAGCGCAAGGTAACAAAAGTATCTGGATGAAGCTGCTTAAGTAAATTTCCTTCCAAGTGAACCAACCTCAGTGATGTGAGTCCGTAGAAAACGTTGGGATTTACAAATTCAATTTTATTGTGGTCCATATGCAACTGTACCAAGCTCTTTAGACCATAAAAAACATCTTGCTGAAGTACTCTGACCTTGTTATAACTCATCTTTAAAACCTGTTGATGAAAAAGTAACAAGTGTATAATATTAACCCGTGTTATATTGTTACAAGACTCCTAACAAATTTTGATTGATGGTTACTTTGTCAAGTTAAAGTACTTCACCAGACCAGCAATGTAAGTGATTGAAAAAAAACTTAGTAAGAGGAATTATTTTTAAATGCAATGTGAGCTGCAGGGCTACAAGGATGCTGTCTTGTTCCAGCAGCCCATCAGGGTGACACTTCTGCAGTGCACATTTACAAAACGCAGCGATTAAAAAAATAAAATAAAGCAATGCTTACTTCTCATTCAAAAAAACCCAATTAAACCACACTTATGAAAAGGGTAAGCGGAATTTGACCATAAGCGCTGGCAGTGATGGTTGTTCCAGACAATGTTAGGACTATAAAAATGCATGCAACAGTCTATTTTGTTTGATGTTTAACCAACAGAACTGCTGAGTGTCTTCCCAGTTTGAGGATTTGTGTCATATGAGATCTGTACTTGCCAAACCTCAACTCCCAGGTGCCATTTTGTTGTTGACAGGTTAAAAGTCAAGTTTGTAACTCTGAGATGAACAAATCTGGCGTGTTGCTGAAGTACTAAATATGGTACCCAAGGCAGCCTTCTTGTTGTTACTTTTCCTGTCAGAATTATGCTGTTACAGTCAAGAATTCTGTATTTTGAAAATCAACGAGGGAAAAAAGTACAAAACCACAATAACATGCAAGTTTATTTTATTTGCTAAATATAATTCCACTGAATGAAACCATCTATAATTGTGTTGCCATCTTGCTTGTTGGTAAGGGAGGAAAAGCTTGCAGGCCTCCAGAAGGCTCGTTCCATTCAGCCCGTCGCAGGGAGTTGCCAAGCGCCTTTCAGGCAGAGAACCACCTTTCCGAGGGGTAAGGAAACCTGAAGATCCGAACGCCGCAAAGCACCTCTGGTTTCCGCCTTTCCCTCCCACCCTGCCCCCTAAACCCAGGACTACTGAGCCAACGCCGATGTGTTTTCTGTCTGAGCAGTTCAGGTCTCTCGTGTTCCGAGTCCGTGGCAGCTGCAGCGTTATTACTTCTCTACAGCAGGTAGTACCAGCTCACGAGAGTACGGCTACCTGGAGAGTACGTGTTAGCTGTACGTCGAATTAGTTGGGAATGGCTGTTGCTAAATAATCACTGAAGTACTTCTTTACATATGAATATCTACACGGCACGGGGAGATACTGAGATAGCTCCAGCATCCCTGTATGATACTGTACATTTACTAGTTTTTACAATATACGTAAATATAGGTAATATTTTATAAATAGGTAATATCTCAGTTAAAGAACAAAACAGGCATCAAATACTACATTTTAGAAGCCCACAAATACATATTAAATTATAAAACCAAGGAACTATAGAGGTTTTTTAAAGCACTAAAATGTTTACATGTAGTATGTTCAGTTTCTGTTCAGTAGGAGCCTTTTTGTAATGAAGGCTAGAAGGGGACAGGACTATACCGTACTGACGGGAAAGGGAAATCTGGATGGAAAACAATCCTCAAAAAAAAATATACTGACTAACAAATTAACTAAAGACAAGTTTCCTACCACAGACACAGTACTGGGAGCTCTGCAATCTTTCACTCTCATGTTGAAAGAGAGTTTCAGCTGCAGTTGCCCGTTAAGATACTGCTGACAGACATCTACCACTATGTTCATCATGCTATTTAAACAGTACCTGAATGCCCACCTGGGAAGGAAAGACTTTTCCCATTAGGATACTGGATCTTGAAGGCCCTTGTCTTTCACGTGGATACAGTAAAAAACAGGAAACCAAAATGCTACAGACCACTGGTCTGCTTCCGTTTATCACTGTTACTGCAGATTGTTTAAAAGTCATAACAAAAATTAAGATTAGTTCATTTAGTTCTTACCTGTAATGAATGTAAATCACTGAACACTTTATCAGGGATTGTATTTATCTCATTGCTGTGCAGCATCAGTAACTCTAGTCTCTCCAGGCCAGAAAAATCTGTTTCCGTCAGTTTAAGCAAGCTGTTGTAACTGTAACAAACATTTCACCCCAGACCTGGGTTTAGTCAGGCAGCTAAACTTCACCAGTTTTATAACAAACAAACAAGAAAAACCAAAACAAAAGAACAACTCTTTGGAAATGCATAAAGGTAGACAGCACTTCTGGTCGCTAAGGTGCCGTTTTAAGTCATTCCTTCATGTTAGCACAAAATTTGGTAACCTTTCCAGGGCGGCTTTCTGAAAACTATATTGAAAGCAGATAGGCAAAATAACTGCAAAAATGTGCAGGCAAGAATGCCAGGTTTGGGCTTCAATATAGAAGAGCACGGGGCTCCTGTAACAGTAGAGGTTGGCAATACCTTGATGCCTCTTTCAGTCAAGGGCTCTCCCAGCACTGCAGTATCACAGGGGACCACGAACAAGAGCGAGCCTCCTTTGCTCTCCACCGAGAACTAGCTAAAACTGAGGGTACCGGGCTGTGACCTTCCTCCTAGGACCTGGATGACAACGGCTGTGCCGAGACTATGGTGCAGGCGGGTTCTGCAGAGCATCTTGCAGTCCCTCCCTGGTCCTTGGTTGGACTGTGCTGTCCACCCTTTTCAGCCATACATCTGGAGTTTTATTTCCACTCCACAGGTGTCGGATGGTGCACGCTACTTGTTAATGCAGACATAGCCTCAGCCTCCCCTGATCTCCAGAAGCATACAAACAGCGTGCATAGTCTAGGCTGGATTTAAACAGGGAACTAAAAATGAAACAGAGCGCCCTTTGAGCGAGAGCTGCACTGCTATAGGAGATTTGACCATCGGTCGTATCTATGCCTAGCCAGCGTGAGCAGTGACCGTGGCGATGCCACGCTCTCCCAGAATTAGTAGGTGCTGTGTAAGCCTTGTGAAGGCCAAGTCCCTACTCTGCGATGCCTTTGACCTCATGACTACTCTCACACTTGGATGGCCTGACCAGCTAACGCAGGGACCCTTCTTATTGCTGCAGTCACACCTCCTATGCCCCGTGGTGACAAGTAAGTTGGATTAGTTCACCAGTCAGATAGACAGCCTTTCCGTAGCAGTAATTAATGTATTTCAAGCATATGTCCCACACCTCAGGTAACCCAGAGACCTCTAAAAGTACTGGTACCTAATTGTAAGACTTCATAGACAGCACCTTGGGACAAGACTGACAAAATCAATGGAAGGAAAGGGCAGACGGGAGTCAGGAGCTGGGATGTGGGTATGTTGCCTGGAAGCAGAAGGCAGATGAGGGGGGAGACTTCAATGAAAACTTTCCTTTGTATTTTCTGCATACACATATGGATGCCTCAAAGGTTACATGTATCAAAAGTGATACAAAGATCGGTCAAATACTGCTGATCGGCCTCATCATCTGGTTGTTATGACAGAGGCCGCTCGCTGGAAGCTGCGTGAGCGGGACAGCCGAGCCTGGGTACCGTCTGCTCCCGGTTCCTTCTGACCACTCACAGAACAGAACCATGCTGGCGGCCGAGATACTCAGAGAAGCGTTATTTCCCATAAACCGGGTAGATAAGGGCATGGATACGAGCACTGTGTGACATTCTAAAGTCACATCAGAGTCTCTGAGGATTCTGATACACATACTGATTTTCCAGCCGTCTGTCTGAGCTCTGAGCTACCTTTTTCCAGACACAATTCCCTTTCGGGCTCCTCCCGGGTGCCATGTTACAGATGTTCGGGTAATGCAGGAGAGTTCATTTACGTTCAAAACTTTCTGACGTTCCTACGCGCCCTGTGCTACATGCCCCCAACTCCCCCCTAGCGCTGGCGGTCTTAGGCTTCGCCAGCTGCGGC